AGCACATAATTTAAATAGTTTAACCCATTATCAGCCTGCAATGAAAATACAACTGCGTCGTATCATATTTTATTTTCAACTGCGTCGTATCATTTCGTAAAAATCATTATTTTCTTGGAAAATAAACATCTCTTTTAAATGAAAGTTTAGTAAATGATGCAAAATTATGTTTTGACGTTTATGGTGAACTCTGAAACAAATATATAATTGATTTGAAGGCAAAACGATAGATAAAGCAATATGAACTGCGTCGTATCCACACATTTTCATAAAAAATCTGCCCCGGTTCGAGTTGCAAGTTCGCTATAACTTTTGTTTTACAAAATAGTTGTGCAAGCAACATATACCGAACGAAGCGGAAAATAGTGTAGCGTGTTAATACATATATCTTGTTTTCAGTCATTTCCAACAAAAAGAGTTATAAACAAAAACATACATTTTTCGCTCCAAGATGGCGGCGTTTGTTTACATTTTGTAGGATACGACGCAGTTTTGATTCCCAGCCCTGGTTTTTGGAAGAGAAATAAAGAATATTCCTAGTCGACATAGATGCGTATTGGTGGGACAAGAACGCTTTTAATAATAAATATAATTCACTTAACTGTACAAACATGCCTTTGAAATTTATTATTGATGACTGATATAGTTATATTACATTGTATATTTAAAAGTGAAGAGAATATAGAACTCAACTAAGCAACTTTCTTGAAAAGTTCTTAATTTCTTAGACTCCATTGAAATAATTTAAAAGCTATCCAGACATCTTATTTTCAATCTTTGTAAAGTCATGAACGTCCTCTTGCTTTCAACCAGTTCTTTAATCTGAATTCTTCTTTAATTTCTAATTCTAATTTTCTTTAATTTGAACTCATAGTGGGTAGAACATTTGCAGTTTATTGTTGTTTGTGAAATCCAATTACATTTTGATATATTTACCAGATATGAATGGATTAAATTTAAATATGAAACGTGGTTTTTTCTTTATGGAGATAGAAAAGGAAACACGCATTCTCTTTCTTTATACTTTTAAGTCATCAAGTAAGAACTAGAAATTGTATAAATAATAATTATTGAAGTGCCTGATATAAATATTTAACTGATGACAAATTATGTAATATGTACATTTGTAATTAATGTATAAATAACAAAAAATATCATTTTTCTTATGACAATTGAATATAAAGTTCATTTCGTTAAATCATAAATAAAATAATTATATTTTTCTTATTGCAAAATTAAGTGTTACGATTCTTTTAATATGTAAATAACACAGAATTACACCCAAAGTAACACCATGCAAATCCCAAAATAGAAAAGGTATTTTAAAGGAAAAGGGATACGAAATAAACATCAAATATTTTGCTTGGGTCATAATCTTATCGAGTGAACGATTCTTTTTACAGCCGAACTACTTAAATATTAAATTACATATATGACTGATAAGATGGAAACATTATTCACGAAGACTCGATTTCGGAAAATATCTTTAGCTGATTTGAACAACTCACTGTCCGTTTCTTTGATCTAATCAGTATTGTGTTAAATAATGAAACATGGTCGTGACCCCAGTAGGGCTTGAATCCATGACTCCCTGTTTATTATACAGATACCTTAGATTATACATTGGCTTATTAAATACTCAGTTAAGATTGAAACATCGCAAAATGAAACAATTTCCCGAGAGTCTTTGTTGTGTCTTTACTTTACATTTTTCCGATAATGTTTGGATGGCATTGTGTATCAGTAAATTTATTTAAAGTGCACGGAGCTTTAATCTGCGGCAGAATTTATTGTTTGAATTTTCAATACGAATACTTCCAAAATGCATGTAAGGAAAAATAGAAGGGTGTATGCATAAAATCATTGTTAAACGGTAAAAACCAAACATTAAAAATAGCAGCGAAATATTTTGTTCGGAACATTTCATTCTAAGTACTACATTCATGTGTGTAAAATAGCAAAGACATTCTTTGTTACAATTTTTCGAGGATCAGTCATAAGATTATGAAAACAATGAAAAATTGTATGGAATTATTGCATAAAATATATCTATTTCCCTTTAAATAAAAATTCTTCTAAACCTAAACAAAATAAAATACTAAAACCATAGCAAAGTGCAAAACGTTTCCAACAACCAAAGCTGTTTTTGGCCACTTAATGTGAAACACAATTTGTTTGTTTGCTCTGTTATTAACTTTGCTCCTGGGAAATCCATAAACTATGTGTACTTGTATATTTTTTAGATTGGTATCGCATGTACAATTTTTACAGGAAGCCCAAATGTACGTATTGTATTCATTGATATATTGTAATGTAATCACATATCTATAGAGATTTTCCCTACTTTTTCTTATATAGTTGTATTGCTTCTTTATATAAGAACGAACTTTATTGTAGTTTCGGTATTTATATTTTTCTTTTTCCGTTTTTTTAATAATACTAATTCGAACTAACTGACGTTTACGAAAACACAGACAACCGTGACAGACAGCTTAGTGATTATTTATTTAAGTGTACTGAAACCGTGATATTAAATATACGTCATATTGATCTTCAAGCAAGCGCCCTAACACCACTTTCTTTGAACGTTCTAACGATTGGTGATTCCAATTGGGGGAGGGGGCTGAAGAGATTTTCACGAATAAATTAATATTACTCTTGACATTGTTGATGAAAATAAATTGTTTAATACAATAATATACTTGTTTGCCCTGATGTTAGCACGTGGTTCAATAATCTGTATTAATCTTATTACAACGTACTACTAAACAAATGCTTAGGACAAGCTATTTACTATATCCTGCAAGTATATTATCAATGGTTCAGAATAACTATGACAAACAACTTAGTGCCAGTTACATATTACAACATAACTTCCGTAAGATCGAGTATTCAACACTGCTGTTTGTCTCAAGAGTAACTCATACAAATAGCCACTTAAGATAATTGCGAGTCTATTACAAGTGTATTCTGGCATGGTTAAAATAGTTATAAAGTGCGTGATGGTTAAAGCATCAACAATTGTATTGAAAGGCAACTTATTACGTAGGGTCACTCAGCTCGTTTCCGAGTGATCTGACATTGAATTTGAAAAAACGTGCTTTTTTCGAGAACATATAATTCACGGTCAAGTTTAACAAGTACTTATTTTCTCTGTTGTCAAAGTTACTGATACAGATGACTATCTTTCAAGTGATTGTTGAGAATTTCAAGAATAGGTGAAACTGTTGCTCTTTACCTAAAGCCATTGCTTCCTCTAAAACATATTTTTCAAGTTCCTTTTAATTAAACTGAAAAAACAGGACGCAAACATTTTATTTAATTCATTGATTTTCTTTTATTATGATCAAGGACAAAATGGTAATGATATAGATCAATACGAATAAAAATTAATTTATAACGCCTACGGACGTTATGTGTCGTTTAAATGACCCGAAATAACAAATATTCAAATGCAAGCGCAGATGACCCTAAAACGATCTCGCCAAACCATTGTTTGTTTTTAATTATATCAAATTCTTTGATAAATGAAAAGTTGTTTTAAATAAATTCTATTGTTTTCATTTTATCTGTAACTATAACATACGCCTTTAATCTCGATTGTAAAAGAAGCTTTTGGCATAAATTTTAATAAGCAAATGACCAGCGTAAGAGTGTAGTATGTAAGATATTATTTAAAGCCATCATGCCCGTTACCAAAGCTAATTAAAATAAAACAGTACATATGTAACCTAGCTTTACTATATAAAAGGCGGCTATTTAAATATTTTGAAAACCAGAACTATGTTCTAAATTATCTCAAAAGAAAAATACAAAACTTTAAAAGATTAATTTCTTCAAAACGAACTTAGTTTCCTAGTTTCTAAAAGTCAACAAATGGATACCTTGATAAATTTAAACGTTTATGGCATTGTAATGCAAAAGCTTTTATCATGGTGCGTTTTGTCTAAATGCGCAACAGTTACCCTTTAGGTGGAGACAACGTATTTACGCATGATTAAATTTTAGCCTAGTTTCACAATATGAAATCTCGGTAAACTACAGACAGTTGCACAATCCATTACTTGTATAGATGATAAGAAAGCATTGTCTTTCCTGTTGAAGAAAATGTAACTGAAAATGTTTTGCAAGAAAGCCAGACATTTAAAATTGGTCATAAAGTGTAAAGCTGATGTATGTGAATGTTTTAATGTACTTGTATATTCATTTAAGACCCGCAAAATAAAGTGATTCAGCAGTAAACCACGCGTCTTGTTTAAAATCATATCGACTCAGCTGCTTTGCAGCTGAATAACTTATTGTACACAAGTCACAGATTTGGTGTTAGTCCTTCTATAGTGATACGTGTCTTCTAGTTCTTTAAAGTGACAAAGTATGCCACATATGCATCATAGTCATCACTTTAAACGCATTATTCAAAACGAATTATTGTGTTAGACTAAAAGAAGTAAAATAGCTATAATCTAAATACGTACTAAAGAAATAGAAATTGTTATTATTTTAGAGAATAAATAAAAGATGCAACGTCTCTTAGTATATTGTATTTAAATTTAAAGATGATGTCTAAAATTCGTGACAAGGAGACACCGCACTGAAAATGTTCACTTAAGTTTTGTTTGATTTGTAGGTTGTCAGTAAAGTTAATAAGATGACATAGTTTTATAGAAAAAATAAAAAAAAGAATTGTCATTTTTGTGAAAATTTAATGCTGTTTATTGTTGTCTCAGTTTTCTGTTTATATATGTAAATATTTCATAGATAGATAGCCACATTGGAAGTCAGTTGTATTTGTATTATTTGCTCTTAATATGTCACCGTCTCAAAATCAAATTTACTATTATTATTAGCTGACGCATACTCTAGATTTCAATGTACATGTGTGGCTATTTTATCCTCTTTACGAATAGCGTGTCTTATCAAACTTTACGAATAGCGTGTCTTATCAAACAGACATTAACAGACTAAGCTATATAGTGGCATCTTATGTTTTCGACGTTCCTATGTTTTCGACGGTTGTGGTTATTTCCCTTTATTTCTGTGATCTCGCGTGATTTTACTTAGCTCCGCCCACCCGGAAATAAACATAACCTGGATACATGACGCTAAACTGTCAACTGAAACAAAATGGAAATTAGACAGGTAAAAGATCGATTTTGATTTGAGTAGTGTATGATTTGCATGATTTTACTAAACAAAAAATACTTCCCTCTCAAAATCCTCATTAAAACTCATTTTCAATAAAATATTGGTATAAAGGTTTTCCTTCGTCTGCTTCTGCAGCCATTGTACCCATAAAGTCACGTGACAAGTCAAATTTAAATACAGGTTGTTCCCAAAAATATCGTCACAACATGGTATTTCCTTATGAGTCTAAGCAGTTTTTCATTTTTTCTATTGCAGCCTCAGACGTATGTGCGAGGCAAATACAGATCATATTCTGCCAATGATTTGCAAGAGGCATATAATATTGTTATGCAACAAGGTTTACCAGTAGAGAGAGTTGCAAAACGTTATAACATTCCAATCACTACACTTAAAGACAGGGTGAAGGGCAGGGTTCACATTGACACTTTGAGGTCTGGTCCACAGACAATGTTTACACAGGAACAAGAAGCTTTCCTCTGTAATCACTTGATAACCATGGCTGAGATAGGTTACGGCTATTCTAGGCAGGAAACTATAAACCTTGCTACTGATTATGCCATTCATTTGGGAATCCGTGACAGAAATAAGCCATTCAGCCTTACATGGTTGTATAGCTTTCTAGATAGGTGGCCTAACCTTAAGATAAAAAAAAACACGCAGTCTTGAAATTGCTCGGGCAAAGTCAGCAACACGTCCTACTATTGTCAGATACTTTAATGAGCTAGAGTCAATTTTAGACAAGTACAACTTGAAAGATAAGCCATCACGTATCTACAATATTGATGAAAAAGGCTAAAGTCTTGAACATAAACCCCCAAAGATTATTGCAGGTGCACAGTATAAGGCACAAGCAGTTACAGCTGGTAGGTCAAAGATAGTAACAGTTATAGGGGGGAAGAAATGCTTTAAGTTATCAGGTCCCACTTTTTTCATTTTTCCTGGAGCTAGAATGTAGTCAGCACTTATGGAAGGGGCATCACCAGGGGCACATGGAGTTGTTTCAGACTCTGGTTGGTCTAATACAGAAATCTTTGAAACATACATGCATGACCACTTAGAACCACTTCTTCCTGCTAGAAACAGTGATAGCCCAATTCTGATATTGTATGATGGTCACAAGAGCCACGTATCTCTAGGTTAATTTGGGTGGGCTAGAGAGCAGCATATTATCCTGTTTGTTCTTCCACCGCATTTTCACACTTGTTACATCCCATGTATGTGTCATGCTTTGGTCCGTTTGAAATTGGTTGGAATGCAGCTTGCCGCCAGTACCTGCGACAGTCAGGGGATCGCATTGTAACACGTAATGAGGTAAGTAAGGTTGCAAGTAAAGTCTACACTGCCACTCTAAACCTATAAACATTCAATTAGCTTTCAAGCGTTGTTGAATATTTCCATTTAAATTCTAGTGTCATCAGTGATGCAGTTATTGCTCCGTCCTTATCATTTTATTACAGTTATGAACCAAATGTATGTCTTGATGTTGCTAAAGATCAGCATGATGAATCTGACCAGACTGAGGAACCTGTTACTGCAGATGCTAGATTATTCCTTGAGAAAAGAGGTGGACAAATCTTATAAAATGTATCTAATTCCAAAGTTTGTAAAACACTTAGCAAAGTAGTTTTCGGGAAAGCAACAACAGAGGACTCAGTGTATGATAAGATGGAAGATCATATTGCACAACATAAACAACCAAAGGCAAAGCCAACTGTCTCTTAAAAGCAAATAGTGCGAAAAAATATTGCCCAACACGGCAAAATTGAAAATGTTGCAGGCTCGGTTTGATTGAGCCTGTTCATGGACGGTACTGGAAAGTGCAAATTACCGTCCACGCCCCCTAGCACCGGCTTAAGCAGAATTCAACATTTAAACATGAAATGGTAGAATTTTGAATCTAGAAACATCCGCAGATGTGTTCATACGGCGGTTATCATGGAACCTTCAATGTGACACTTCCGTGCCATTCCATGAAAAGCGGCGTATGGTCCCCAAGTAATAAAAAGCGTGTGCCCTAAACGAGAAAACAATGGGCGGAACTAAATAAAATAGAATTTTGAAAGGGGATCAGAGGTTATGAAGCCTGCGTATCACAGATAAGAAGTCAAAAGACAAATTTAAAAAGCAGGCAACATATCCTAAGGGTGATTCAACATTATTCAAGTAGGAATATTGGAACCACCCAACTAGAAAATGCCGAAGGATATCTTCAAGGATCGACATTTAGAGTTTGACATTTTGATATAACTTTTGAACACTAATAGTAATAGTACAATAAAACAACAGCCAATCACAAAACGTCGAAAACTATGACGTCATCAGACAGGAAGTGGATGTTTGGTCGCAGTCAATTTGTTGACCTGTATCGGTAAATGTTAGTTATGTTTGTTTAAAAGTTAGTGTTTTTATGTCAAATTGAATGCTTAGTAGTGCAACACATCAATTTTATGATTGCAAAGACATTTAATAGTTATATAGCCCATGAAATCAAACATTAGAAGCCAGGATAATTAGAATATTTCAATAACTAAATTCAAGTTTTGCAAAAACATCCTGTTATATTGATATGTCTCTTTGAACAAATCATAACCCTCTATTTGTTAAACGAAATATTCTTCTTCAAGAACGGAAATATCAGTACATTCGGGTTATTCTAAAGGTAGAGCTGGTTGAACCCTATTTCTTAAAAAAGATATAAGGAACTTTATGCTCATTTTTTAGCTGTCAAGATGAGTTGAATTAGTGATACGTTTTTAAGATAATTACATCAAATGTTATTTATTGTTACATTGTCTTATGTTTTATACCGAATTTTAATGCTAAATGATTTTTTGTAAAAGTGCTATCTTTTTACGAATGACAATCCTCATCACTGTAAAATGACGTTAAACATAAATTTCATCTACGTTACTGAGACATTTTTTAGATTTTTTTTTACTTTTCAAGCTTAAATTTATCCTCGTAAGCGATCCTTGGACGTCATCTCTTTACATTCATTCTAAATAATATTCAGCTAGCTAACGTTCTTCTCGCTCGTGCCTGAAATTATGTTTGTTTGTTTGTTTGTTTGGACTTTTACGGCACGTCAACTGGCCATATCGTGCCGAATGCTATAATAGGCTTAAAATGTTATGTAAAACTTTGTAAATGACAATAAAAATGGGTCAATTGGATCAAAGAGTACAAGTTTATTTCTTTCAAATAATCCATGATGTTTTTGATGGAATTGTATTAAAGAGCTCTTTGATTGAGTTTACACGATAACGTCTATTACGGGTCTGTGAAATAACATGACATTACAAGCTACACACAAAGGGGCATTGTCATTCGTGAAGAGATAAGAGTGGGTAATTTTAGTGTGTCCTATCCGGCATCGAAGAAGAACTATTTCATCATGGCGGTTTGACAGAGATAGAGATGCTGACACATCAAGAGATGGGTTTATATCGTTAAGTTTATGAAAAACGGCATGAAATAATGTACGAATAGGACACCTATAGTTTTTCTCCAACACTAAAGCTAAAAAGTTGTCCTATATCTTTTATATTATTGGTGTGACTTATATTAAAAACAATTCATTTCATTTGATTATACTATGATTAAACAGCACTTGTATTGAAATATTGCCAAACTTCATTTATAGCGAGCTCGACGAGCTGGCCCGAAGGGCCTGCTCGCAAAGCGAGCTTTACGGTAACGCGAGTACCTGCTAAGTGATGGTTTTGAAAACTTTCGTCCAAAGTACCAAATTGGACACATCGCAACCTTTCGAATTAAAAGATAACGATAAAAACTGAGGAATTCTGACTGAAAACGGATGTGTAGACTGGTCACCCGCGCACGTCTATGGGAACCATAATTGGACAGGGAACCAGAATAACGGAAGCTGTGTATAAAAAATGAAAATCGAAGGCGCCATTTTGTTTGAAATCTGATAAATAAAAACAATTTTTTGTCGAATTTTGTTGTGAAAACTATCTAGAATGAAAGAAAATGGTCTAACTAAGAAAATGAATCCGAACACCAATATCTTTTATTCAGTCGTTAACGCTGTACAGACGTTTAAAGTATTGTTTACGTGACGTCACAATGTAGCGCCAAACAGCACGTGCAAAACAAACAAATCAAGTACGCTATTTTAATGTCGCAAACGTTTTAAGTTTTACATTTATTTCACTTTAAATAATCTTTATTTCGCTTGAAAAATTATAGAGTGAAATAAAATAAACAAAGTTTTATCAACGTTTTCAAAACTCGTTATTCATTTCACGACAGGGGCGGGGCCATATTTAACACAGTACGTGTGACGTCACACGCACTCGTTACTGCATTTGAAATAAAAATGAGCGATTATTTCATACTATTTCACGTAAAAAGTACATCGAGCTCGCTTTGAGGCTTTGCCTTTTTCATATTATTTTTATCATACAATATCACAGTTTAACGGATATTTATTGTGTTTTTCGGCCGAAGGCCGTCTGATTTCACCTTGACATCCGCCAAAATTAACAGTAAAGAAGTGAATAAAGCCAGAAGTTTCATTGGTCATTTTACACAGTCTGTTCGATTGATACTTAAGAAGAGCTTCTGTTATAGGAAGAGGTCTGTTCGATTGCGCGTTGGCAAGAATTGTTGGAAAAAGATATAAGTCAGAATTAATATAAAAACACAATAATGATATTTTCTAGATGTTTCTAACAGCTTTTCAATAAATATATGAATTTAAATATGACAGATCGTCTTTTTGATACTTTTGCGTTCGATTGGGTGTCTCTTCTAAGCTGTTCTAGTCATTATATTCTCGTCTCGAACCGGGCATCAGATGATTGAAACGAACTTTCGATTAATTTACAGTTGCAAAACTATCCGTGAAATTAGTGTACAGCAGGCCTCGACATTAGCGGTGGTCCGTTGGTCCGAGACCACCTAATTTTGGCAAGGACCACCTAATTTTAAAATGCACTGGTCCGTCGGACCACTTGAATTTTCTGGTTTGTGCAAGGCTCATTTGGGAGAATGGTGATTTGGTTAAAAACATGTTATATACATTTTCTTTAAAACCATTTGTCCTATGAACATGTATATGGTTCATTAATAGATTAACCTGATTAGTTAAAGAAGGTCTTAAATCATCAATAACTTTCATTTTAAGTCGCTAAAATTTTGTCTATGCAAGTTGAGGTAAGAATTTGTGATATTAAGCTAGGTACAAATTGCATTCAAATGATGCTAGTAATGATGCATCGTCGGATTACCACTGTGGAACCTTTAACATTTATGTTATATGTTAATCACACATGGGTATCCGACAATGGTAATTATGATATTGTATGGGATACTGTATGAACTTTAAATTTCATATACATGAATAATGGCAGCAAACTAAAGGAACTGGAAAAAAATACATCTAGTAATTCTTTGCTAGTTATCTTTCTTTTTACTGTTTAACGGTAAGAGATCCATTTCTTCCAGAGTTAAAATTACTTTTTTTAAATAAACGGTTAAAAATACTCAATGTAAAAAATAAATATCAACCAACAAGCAACAGGGCGGTAAAAATTCTATATTCATAATAAATCTGTGAGAAAAATAAGCTAAACTATAGTTATATATAAAGTTGTTTTTATTTTTTAACTTTAGATATTTCCTTGTTTTAAGATAATTTATTAGTTTTTATTTAAAATGTTAATCTATAAAAGATACATGTAATTATCATGATTATAAGACTTACCACGTATCAGCAATGAATATTTGAATAACAGTAAGAAAAAAAAACCAGACACAAATGGTTTCACTATTCCCTAACTTGAGTTGAGGGAGAAATCACTTCAATATAAAAGTTAACATAAATAAGAGCCCTGATGTGTATTTTTGAATGAGCTATGAAA